TTGCTTTTCACAGTCTGAGCAATTTATTTTGTAGATGATATTTGGTTTTTCTTCCTTTGTCATTTTGTCCTTTGGTCTACATAGGAGTGATTGAAGTGATTTTGTTGGTTTGTGTGCCACACATATTCCAAATGGTTTCAGTAGTTAAGCTGTATGCTCCGATACGTCTTGTATGCATGGTAGAATGATTAGTTTTTTGGTTCCTGTACTTGATTTCGCGCCTCTGTTGATGGTTTCATTTGATATTTATTGATGAACTTGTGTGGATAGTCGTTCTTTTAGAAAACAGTCATCAGAAGTCTTTCTTCGTTTTTTTTTGCGCTTCAGGTGTGCCCACAATGTGTCTCCTCACATTCTTGAACAACCTCTGTAAGCAGTTGATTTTGTGAGTTCTTGAGTTGTTTGTTGCTATTGTAGTTGAGAAATAGATCTGTGTGGGTTGACTTCCGAATAACTCGAGTCTACATCAAGTTTCCATCAAGAACTGACATAAGCTAAAAATGGAAGAATATGTTGTTGTTGTTGTCTCTGTTGTAGTGGATGTTGCAATTATAAATCTATGATTTACACTAATATTATCAGTTTATAAGTAGAATTAACATACTAAAACTATTTCATGAACTTAACATTCTTCGTTTCATATTTTCAACTTGAACTAAGCTGTACGTATACAAACACTCTTTTGTTGAATTCTGCGCGAACTCTGATTGGTTTGTGTCTCTAGGCAAATACTTCAAAAAAAATATTAATAATCACATACTTTTATTAGTATACTTTTTGTCAAACAAAATAGCATAACTGATATTTAAAATCGAAATGATACATTAGAATAATATGGGTTTATTGTATTCATTCACACCAATTATAATAATAATAATAATAATAATAATTATTATTATTATTATTATTAGTATTGCTTTACGGGGTTGTGAAGATTGTTAAGTAACACATTTTTGAAACCATGAACCGATCAATGTTAGACCACCATTAGAAACCTGGAAGCACTGGATAGTTTCAAAAATGTGTAACTTAACAATCTTCACAACCCCGTAAAATGCAAATTACCTGTGCTCACAGTGACTAGCTTCGTGAGTAATCTTCTCTGATTTCTAGTGGGAAGTTGTGACCAGTGAAGTTCAACCTGTTCGGGTGTAGACAGTAACTACCGAAGACAGTTCATGAGGTTGCGCAACTGCGTGAATTGATCAAGTTAGACATTAACACCGTTAGATACCGACCCAGTGGTCCGGTGGTTAGGCGTTCGCACACAATACCGAAGGTCCTGCGTTCGAATCCTGTGAGGTGCAGGAGGAGTCGTGGATGCGCACTGCTGAGGAGTCCCATACCAGGACGAAACGGCCGTCCAATGCTTCCAGGTTTCTAATGGTGGTCTAACAATGATTGATTGATGATTTCAAAAATGTACTAGTATTACTAACAATTTTTATCTAGAGTATGACCCTGTGAATAATTAAACTACAATAACATATAAAATGATTAATGTGGCGGAAATTATAAGTAAAAACAAAGTAAGAAAAGAAAGCCTGCTTATATATGTAGTGACTAACCGCCCTTTGTTTTAAAAAAGATTTTTTTTATCATGTTCTGCTTTTAACAGATATTACAAAGTCTCAACGTTCATAAACGGAAAAAACAAAATGCTTTGATATACAACACTACATGCGCCAACCAAATTACTCTTGATGGAGATACCTTTAAGGACGTTTAAAGAGTTAAGCATCATCACTGATGAGTTAGGTGGATCCAGAGCAGATGTGAAGGCGCAGATCAGCAAAGCAAAGGCTGTGTTTCTACAATTGATGAACATCCAAACAACTTTCAACCAAAACCAAAGTCACAATTTTCAATAAAAATGTTAAGACAGTTCTACTGTATGGGGCCGAAACTTGGAGAACTACGAAAGTCATCATCCAAAAGATACAAATATTGATTAACAGTTGTCTACGCAAAATACTTCGTATTCGTTGGCCAGACACTATCAACAACAACGTACTGTGGGAGAGAACAAACAGATTCTAGTGGAGGAGAAAATCAGGAAGAAGCGGTGGAAGCGGATAGGACACATATTGCGAAAAGCACCTAACTGCGTCACAAGACAAGCCCTCACACAGAACCCTCAAGGTTGAAGGAAAAGAGAAAGGCCAAGCAATACATTACGTCAAAAACTGGAGACAAAAATGAACAAAAATTGGACAGCACTGGAAAGCGAAGCCCAGGACAGAGTTGGTTGGAGAAAACTGGTGAGCGGCCTATACTCCATTGGGTGTAACAGGAGAAATTAGGTAAGTAAGTAAGTACAATTTGATATTATTGATTATTTGAATAGATTCCAGTTGGGAAAATTTATTGATACACATGTTTGATTCATACTTTTTTCCTATTATATGACAAATACAATATTCTACTTTTCAATTTCAAAAATATTTAGTTTATGCTTAGGAAACATTAGACAGTTTGTGCGTTATTTCCATAAATCTGTAAAATTTGTTCTTGTATACAATGATATCAAATACTTAATTAGTTTATTTCGATTAAATGAATCGTAATCAACAAGGTAAATCTATGATAAACATTTTGAATGTATTTAGGAGAAGTCAGTTAGATGTACTCATATTCTAGCCCGACCGTAGCTGCTACCTTGACGTGGTGGTCGGGCTTGCCTATCGTGATGACCTAACCGAGCTATACTAGCTGGAACATATGTTCCTGCAGGACCTACCATGCCAGGCAGGTCGATTGCAGAACGATGAGACTACAAGCAGCTACTGAATGTCTGAGGGCGAAGTCGTACTGCTGACTGCAGAGGGGTGGGACAGCAGTAAGGTGTTTCCCTCGAACAACCAGCATCTGCAGCGATGCTGCCTTCTCACGGGGAAGGAAGGAATGGTTAGAAAAGGTCGACCCTAAAAATGTTACACCTCACCCTACCTCATGGATTTCCGTCTCCGTCGGTAAGGGTGCCCACTAAGGGCTTCAAAAGAGCGGAGCTAATACTCAAAAAACCTTTCATAAAAAGGCCGTGCGTGGCCGGCCTCAAGAAGTTGTCCCTTTGGGCTCTGCGGTCACGCTCCCAGGTCTCTAAGACCAACACTAATCTATCTTCATTTTCAGGTTCCTCAAGAAACAACCTTCCACGGTGTGGGCAGCCGGGAAGTGACAACCGCCCTCATACCCATAACAGCATACCGATAACTCTTATTCTAGTGTTATTGTTGTTGTTGGAATTGAAACCCAGTACCTGTCACTTCAAAAAATACAAACAATGCCTTACTCTCTGAACTACTGGCCCTAGACGCTTGTTTTATTACGAAATAACTAAAAACCCTCACGAATACTGACATGTTTTAAATATACAGAATGAACTGTAAAAAACATTGAAATGTTTTTGAAAATTATTCAGTTAGCAATTTAAAGCATAAAACGTTCCTCGGTGTAGGATCACTATAAATCAAAAAGTGAATAAACTTCTTATCAGATGATAATGTTTTACCGTGAAACCATGAATGAATTATTATTAGGCAACCATTGGAAATCTGGGAGTACTTGGCGGCTGTTTCGTACTGGTATGGGACTTACAAGCAGTACTCATCCACAACTTCAGCTACTCATAGGATTCGAACCCAGGACCTTCGGTCTTGCACGCGAATGCTTAACTTCTGGACCACTGAGCTGGAATCCAATCGTGTAATTGTGTAACTCTGATCGATTTAAGGATTGTCCCTAAACATTTCAAACTGCATACTCATGTGAATTTTTAAAAAAACTCTTTTACTTTACATCAATTTTATATTATGAACTGGTCATAGTTAGGCCGTTACTATAAACCTGGAAGCATTGGAATGCTCGTTCGTTTATAGGGAGACTTCTCAGAAGTGCTCATCCACGATCACTTAATCAAGAACTGAACTTAGGATCTTTAAGTCCCCGTAGCGAACATGTAACTATCAGAACTGCCGAGTGGGAGATATCCAGGGGCAAAGTTCCACCATCAGCAAGTATGTGATATAGTGAACGCTAAGACCATCCCGACATATCTGAATTTGAATATATTTGCAAGTCATTAAACAGTGAAGAAAGTCACCTGTTCAATTTGAATATTACCAATCAAATTGCAACCTAACCAACTTCTAACATCAAATGAATCCATAATGTAAAGCACTTAGTTGAATGATGACTACTTGAAGCTAACCGAAAATCCCAACCAACCTTTTGTGTTACTTGCCAATAGCATTCATCTGTAAAGATTTCTAATGTCAATTAAGAAAAATAATTCACTCTATAAGATTTCAACTCGTCTGATTGAAGGTGGTCGATTAAAAATACAGTTTGACTTAAATTTCCTACCATATATTATCACTTATCAACAAAATGTACCGGTAATTTTAATGAAACTGTTTAAATTTAACATTTATCATCCAGTTGCACAGTTTGAAAATTTATAATTGAGCTATTTTTTGTCTTTCTCTCTCCCTCTGTATATAATTAGTTTTCCGATAACTGTGTAACTGGGAAATAATCAAAGATTAAAACTAGTTCCATGAATGAAATTAAATGAATTGCCCCCCCCCAAAAAAAGAACGACTTCCTTCAAACTCCCTCTCTCTCCACCTCTCTCCCTAACTCTCAACTCCTTCAGTTCATTGATTATTGTTATTTTTTTTGAAAAAACACTGTTTCTTTACATGTCTTGAGGAATTTAACTTGGCTACATTCATTTCTAAATTTGTTTTCTAACCAACCAACCAACCAACCAAAGGAAATTATCATTATATTTTTTCGAATGTCAATCTCATCATCATCATCATCAACTTCTTCTTGTTCAACAGCGCCAACTCATCAATCCACTAATCTGCCTATTCTTGCAAAGTAGAGATAACCAGCGACTAATAATATATAATAAACACACGAACACGCATACGCACACTCACACGCACACACACTTACGTGAACACTTTCACTAGTAGACACAATCAATTCACTCATCCAGAACTAATCATAACCTTAGTAGTAGTAGTAGTAGTAGTAGTAGTAGTAGTAGTAGTAGTAGTAGTAGTAGTAGTAGTAGTAGTAGTAGTAGTAGTAGTAGTAGTAGTAGTAGTAGTAGTAGTAGTAGTAGTAGTAGTAGTAGTAGTAGTAGTAGTAGTAGTAGTAGTAGTAGTAGTAGTAGTAGTAGTAGTAGTAGTAGTAGTAGTAGTAGTAGTAGTAGTAGTAGTAGTAGTAGTAGTAGTAGTAGTAGTAGTAGTAGTAGTAGTAGTAGTAGTAGTAGTAGTAGTAGTAGTAGTAGTAGTAGTAGTAGTAGTAGTAGTAGTAGTAGTAGTAGTAGTAGTAGTAGTAGTAGTAGTAGTAGTAGTAGTAGTAGTAGTAGTAGTAGTAGTAGTAGTAGTAGTAGTAGTAGTAGTAGTAGTAGTAGTAGTAGTAGTAGTAGTAGTAGTAGTAGTAGTAGTAGTAGTAGTAGTAGTACTAGTGGCAGCACATCCATTTTCTGTTGTAACATTCAAATTATAATCACCATTATTAATATTCTTCTTCTTTGTAGTTAGAAGAAGAAGAGACTAGTGTTGGTAGGCCTTATTATTATCAACCTCAGTATCGGTTGGTATATTGGTAGGCATTTGAAATTCGCACACACACACACACTGGCGCGCAAGCACGCACGCATGAGTACATGAGTACACACGTACACACACACACACACCTACAAAGGTAGACTTGTTAAATAATTGATTAATAATTATCTGAATTCATCAAAATGTTTTATTATCATTATTATTATTCAGTTTATTTGTTATTCTTTCAATTATTATTATTATTATTATTATTATTTTTTCCTTTCATTTTCTTTGACTGATTGATTGAATAAATTAATCTTGTTATGGTCGTTTTTTGGGTGGTGGTTATCTATTTTGTTGTTGTTGTTGTTGTTGTTGCTTATTCAATGAATGCGCCGTTCTGTCTCATTTCGCCTTTTTCTTTTTAATATTTCAGCGAATGACATTGAATGCATGAAGAGCAGTAGGAGTAGTAGTAGTAGTAGTGTGGTGTGAGCTACTTATAAGTAGTATATGACGTGAGTGTCAACGTAATGTCTGGCAGCAGAAGATGGGGGAAGATCAAGAAAGGAAGAGTTAGAACACAATGGAATGAATGCATGAAACGCATGAACAGTGGTGAAATGTCAGACAATGGATTGATGATGGATTGAAGATTTGCAAATGAACGATTTACGATATGGTTTTTCCTATTTTACTGAGTAACTCTGTAATTTTCGTTAAATACAATTCGGTTGCCCCACCTGTGTTCTCGTTCACTACAGTAGTAGTAGTAGTAGTAGTAGTAGTAGTAGTAGTAGTAGTAGTATGATATTTACTACTAGCATTATTGTTAGTAGTAGCTTGAGTAAATATTATTATTATTTCGTTTATTCACAAGTGTTAGACAATTAATGCATCCATCAACCTTACAGTTTGTTTCAGATGAATTGTGTTAAGTAAAGTGTCTATAAGTGCGCATACATGTATACAACTCATTCATGGACTATTTCTTCTAGTCATATCTTCATACATATCTATCTATCCTACCTTCCTTCTTTCTTTAGGTGCTCCTATTTCCCAGCTTTCATCAAATTTCAATAGAATTTGTAAAAAATGAAAAATCATTTCTAAATAATTAATTATTTAATGAATGAATTAATTACTCCTAATGGAATTCGGTTTGTGTATTCAACGTAGGCAAAACAAAATTACACATGAGATGGATTATGCTGTCTTTATGTCAACTAAGAAATAATAATAATAAAAAAGATGATAGATTTGTCGGAAAAATAAAAATTCACATTATCACTATCATATCACTATTATTATTATTATTATCATTATTATTATTGTTAAATAGAAAACGTGAGAAATTCAGCTTTTAATAAAATCACTTTGAAAACATTAAACGCTTGTGTATAATCAGTAGAAAGCTTCGAGAGACTTGTCAATACAAGAGTAGGGTATCTATGAATGTAAGAAAATGTATGTTAATCATTGACATTACTGTTGAAATATCCACGGTCGTATTCATTCACCTAAAGAACTGCGATACTAACACTGATTAACTACTGAATGATCAATGGAGAAGTATCTAAAACTTGTTACAGCATAATCAGAAGAGGTAAACAATGTGTTGGGAATGTTTGATTCCCAAAACTCGCTTGATGAATAATGCCTTATTTTGGATTTCACGTTTGCCAGCAAGGGCTGATCAGTCGCCCTTGAGATTTCATTTCCCAACAAGGAAATCCATGCCGTGATTGGCTGATGTGTATTTTAGTGTGCTACTATTGGTGACTGTCCCAAAGACGTTTCCATGATGGATAAATAAACGAGAGTTGTATGCTTGATGGCATTGTGATTGCTGGTTGTTTGTAGAATATACTTTCTACGCTTACAAAGCCTTTTATCTTCAGCTTAGGGTTCAAAGTAGCCTATCTGGACGCTGGTAATTGTCTGGTTCGCGTTTATCGACTAAGGTGAACTCGTAATAGCTTCAAGCGTACCTAGTTACGAACCCTACACAGTGGCTAGCAAACAGTAGATTCCTAGGATGCAGCTTCCGTCCTGTTTAGGACACATCTAGAGTACATGCATTTGAGAGTTGGTGTTCACCCAAGGACTTGCCCCTAATACCTTATGCTTCAAATGCCATGGCGTTATCTACCTAACTACTGATCAATTGTACTCCTCATTATCAGTGACAAGATCCAAATAACCAATACAAATTACAACATAGTTATTACGTAAGTAATAAACTATTCAAACATGAAATTAGATGATATTCTCATTATCTTATTATTAGTATTATTAAGAAAAAGAAATGTACATATTCTAAATAAATTACACAAGCAAATCATATTTTTTCAGACATGGCCAGTGTGAGTAGAGGACTTCCGAAGGTTAATAGTCTTTGATCATAGGTGTATCCGAAGCATTGCTCGTGTATCATGAGACGACCGAGTAAGTAATGCTATAGTAAGGAAACGAGTACTAGGTAGGAATGGTAAATCGATAGGTGAAGCATTGATTCTCCATCAGTTGAGGTGGTTGGGACATGTGTTAAGTATGGCTAACCACTGACTGCCGCGACGAGCTATGTTTCGTAGTGTAGGAGTAGGTTGGAAGAAAGTTAGGGGCGGCCAGTCCAAAACATAGCAGAAATCCATGAAGTCACTAACAAGTGGACTTAGTCATGTTGCTAGATGTAGGCTACGTGGTTGGGTTCTGCGAGACGGTATTCACTAATGGTTAGAGACCTTGAGTGACATGGCTCAGAATCGTTTACAATGGTGCAGGTGCATCCACTCTTCGTGTGCCTTTTAATTCTAACCTTCCGAATTTCTCATAATCTCTATCTTTCTCCGTCTAAATTTATCTCATTGAATTGTACTTTTCGAATCATATCTTTGCTCCCTAATCTTCTCCATTACTGCTAATACTTCTACTATCGCTATCACTCTTGGATTTGAACTGACAGTTACGTCTCTGTGTGCTGATGTGGTATAGCAACCTGAAGTGATGTACTTATGTACGAAGTTCTGCGTTGTATCTGTCTATCTGTCTGTCTGTCAGTCATATTTTTCAAAAGTGAATAGTCAGCTAACATAGGAAGATTGTATACAATAAACAAAGGAACAGTTTGTTTTCTACAGAAAACTACTGATAATTCAATTGAATACATTAAATTACATCAAATATGTCTCAATTGTACCGGTTAGGTGATTTCATGCTAATTTCGGCTGGAAATCATGTGTGTATCTTATGCAAACCAATGACAGAAACTAAATTCCAAGACATTTCTGTTACATATCACTTAATATGAATAATAATGGTACTACAAGTATTATCAGTAAATCACTCAGCACAAATTATCAATAAAACTCTTATGTATTTCAGTGAGGAACACATTAAAACTGTTATGCATCGCTACTATATATATATTTATAATCCGATTATACTATATTTGGGAAGTATTTTCTACTGAGTCAAAAAAAACGTGAAACTAGTTTATGAATAAGAAGTTACATTTGTATTAAACCATGTTCAACCTAAAAACGATACACTTATTTACAAGTAATGAATCTGTTGAGGATGTTAGATCCCCAGAACTCGCTTGATAAATGTCCTTATTTTGGATTTTATTCATGGGTTGATCAGTTGACCTTGAGATCATATTTCCCACCAAGAAAAGCCTTGGCTGTGATTGGTTACTGTGTTATTCTAGTGTGCTGTTTTGTGACTTTCCGAAGGACGTCTCTATAGTGTATAAATAAACTGGATTTGTGTGCTTGGATTCATTGTGTGCTAGCTGGGTGTTTGTAGAATACCCAGTGACGAGGGAAACATAATCCTATGTTATGTTATTGAAAGCAAATCGGTAAGAAACTCTGAACCTAAGTTTTGTACTAACATGGTAGAGGGTAACTCAAATCTTATAAACAACACCATTTTCGCTTAAAGACTGGAGGTACTTCTTATTTAAAAGTTTTCATTAGCTTGAAACTTAAATCCAAGATTTGCCACTGATTTCATTCAATTGTTTTAGAGTAAACAATCTCTAGGCGATATTGAACAAGTTAGACTAATGGTCACTTTTTAACTTAATCGATTGAATTCAACGAGGGCGAATAGCTAGACAAGGGTGAAACGTTGGTTACCATTCAATTATCAATTAATATAACAAATTATTTTCTTTCACCTAATATTCATGATGAATGATTTTTCATCCAACCATATGATTAAACATTATTGTATAACATTATGGGGTTGTGGAGATTGTTACATTGCTCATTGGAATCATGAATCTATCAATAATAGACAGCCATTAGAAACCTCGAAGCACTGCACCGCCGTTTCGTCCTGGTTTGGAACTCATCAACAGTGTGCATCCTCAACTCCTGCAGGATTCGAACCCAGGAGTTTCAGTCTTGCGCGCGAACGCCTAACCTCTGGACCACTGGGTCGGCATCCAATAATGCTAATGTCTAACTTTAATCAATCTAGATAGTTTATATTGCCTGATATTCAACTGAGTATTCGGTTTTGAAGTAAACAGAACTGGTCATGCATGCATCAGTAACAAAAACTTCTTTTGATTGTATTAGTAGTTTAATATTTCATATAAACAGTTTGTAAATCAGACATAACACTCACTGTTTTCAAAACGTTATACACCTCTTTTAGGGACGAAAGACGGCCGTTTCGTCCTGGTATGGGACTCCTCAGCAGTGCGCATCCACGACTCCTGCACCTCGCAGGATCCGAACGCGGGACCTCCGGTATTGTGCGCGAACGCCTAACAATCGGACCACTGGACTGGCGTCCAACAGTGTTAATGGCTCACTCTGATTGATCTAGAGATTTTGCGCAACCTCACCCATTTGTCTTTGGTAGTTACTGCCGTCCAGTGCTTCCAGGTTTCTAATGGTGGTCTAACAATGATTGA